GACCTCCTGTCATATCATGTTCGCCTATTAGAAAATCGATTTTCAGCCAAAGGGGTCTTCGAAAATTTCAGTTCTCGAGAATTCCTGGAATTTACGTCATTTCTCGGAAATGACGAAATTTCCGAGAATCGAGTCACTTCCAGGAATCGACCTCCTATCGTATCATGTTCGCCTATTAGAAAGTCGATTTTCGGCCGAAGGGTCTTCGAAACTTTCAGTTCTCGAGAATTCCTGGAATTTACGTCATTTCTCGGAAATGACGAAATTTCCGAGAATCGAGTCACTTCCAGGAATCGACCTCCTATCGTATCATGTTCGCCTATTAGAAAGTCGATTTTCGGCCGAAGGGTCTTCGAAACTTTCAGTTCCCGATAATTCCTGGAATTTTCGTCATTTCTCGGAAATGACCAAATTTCCGAGAATCGAGGCGATTCCAAGAATTGACCAGTGGGCCTTCGAAATTTTCAGTGCTCGAGAATTCTTGGAATTTTCGTCATTTCTCGGAATTGACCAAATTTCCGAGAATCGAGGCGATTCCAAGAATTGACCAGTGGGCATCATATTCGCCTAATACAAAGTCACGATTTCCGATGTTCGAAAATTTTTGGCCGAAAATCGACTTTCCAATAGGCGAACATGATGTGATAGGAGGTCGCTTCTTGGAATCGCCTCGATTCTCGGAAATTTCGTCATTTCTCGGAAATGACGTAAATTCCAGGAATTCTCGAGAACTGAAAGTTTCGAAGGCCCACTGGTCAATTCTTGGAATCGCCTCGATTCTCGGAAATTTGGTCATTTCCGAGAAATGACGTAAATTCCAGGAATTCTCGAGAACTGAAAGTTTCGAAGGCCCACTGGTCAATTCTTGGAATCGCCTCGATTCTCGGAAATTTGGTCATTTCCGAGAAATGACGTAAATTCCAGGAATTCTCGAGAACTGAAAGTTTCGAAGGCCCACTGGTCAATTCTTGGAATCGCCTCGATTCTCGGAAATTTGGTCATTTCCGAGAAATGACGAAAATTCCAGGAATTTTCGGGAACTGAAAGTTT